AAATGATAAATATGCATTTAAAAAAAAAAAAAAGGGAAAATGCTTAAGTACCCTCCCAACCTATGCCTGAAATCTCAGAGACACACCTATCCTTTACTAAGGTCCTATTACCCCCCCGAAGTTATTTTATATGTAATATTCTACCCCTTTTTGGCCTACGTGGCACTATCTTGTGGGCCCAGTGCACGTTGACAAATTTTTCAAGGATAGTGCCACGTAGGCCGAAAAGGGGTAGAATATTATAGATAAATTAAGTTCGGGGGGGTAATAGGACCTTAGTAAAGGTTAGGTGTGTCTCTGGGATTTCGGGCATAGGCTGGGGGGGTACTTATGCATTATCCCTTTTAAAAATTTTAAAAACTCAATGCCTAATTTACGGTGAAAATTAAACAGTTTGGCTCTTGAAAATCCTGACTATGCCTTATAAATTGATATAGAGGGAGTAAGCTTCATATGATTGCTTTCGCAAAGAATAGTTAAACACATTTTTCTGGTCCCAAAAAGAAAAAGAAAAGCGTTGAAGATAAACAGAAACGCGTTTTGATTGCTATCAGAAGTGCTTATGTGGTCATTCTCAAGTCAAATTTTGAGTTGTTTTGAGTTACACATTTAATTCAACCAAGGACTTAGTTAAAGTGGCCACTTTTAATGTATAATACAGACATGTCTGGTTCTCAATTCTCATCTCTAAAGTAGTGGACAATATCCAATAATTTTCAGGACTAGGCATGCTCCATCTTAGACATTTGATACTAATCTTAGGCTTGAATCTCTCAACCTGGTAAGGAATATTTATCCATTAATGCAAGAATTGTTCTTTAGGAAATTGAACAGAGAGCAACATCTTGATTTGATGGATAACCTAATTACATTTACTGCTAACATAAACATGAATTTGTAATTGTAGTTGTAGTTGAGGCACATCAGCTATATCTTCTTGATTTTGTGCTTCCTGTTCTTGAATCTCTCCTTCATTAAGTTGAGTCATAGAAGCAGTTTGATGTTGCAGAGGCACAATAGCCATTTGCTGCTGCATCATCAACGCTTCGTGTTGTAACGGTTGTTGTGATTGAGTCATATTGGCAACCTATTGTAACATGAGAACACCATAATCATGGTAATGAGCCATAGAAGCCATTGTGTGCACCATTTGTTCCTGAGTTGGTTGAGCTATTAAGTGCATCGTGCGAATTATCAGCTACCTTGAATAGATTAGATGGAACTTCCCTGTTGTTAGGGTCATTTTACAAGTTTCTGTCTTGCCTGTGCTGTTTCATCCAACTTTGATCTATCTAGTATACCCCCCTGTATCTGTAAATAGAACAGACAAATGTTTCAAACTAACATTAATGCAATTGGCAAAGGAAAGTTTCAAAGTGCTACAAGCACAACAAGGAACATTATTGATGAATGCAAATGACAAAAACAGTTTACTTTGAGTAAGCCTGTTTGTCTAATAAAAGGCTAATCGAAGGGCCGGACCACAAGGGGTGTATTGTATGCAACCTCACTGTTTCCACAACAACCTTATCACAAAAAATTAAAACTTGGCCTCTCCCACATAATAGCTAGCTTTGGGGTGTGAGTTAACCAGTTACGCCCAAAGTTGTTACGTATTCTTCTTTGTTAGATCTCTTTCTTCTATCGCACGCTAAATATCTTCCTCCATTCATTCAGCTCTCTAAGATTCTTTGAGGTGAGTATTATTGATCCGAGAAATGCATACACATCATTCAATACACACAACATTTATATATTGCATATCATCAAAAGTCATAATAATACATTTTCCCAACTGAAGAAAAGCTTATAAAACTAAAAATCAAATACAACATCATAAGTTGCAACATAGGAAGAACCAAATCCATTACGGCAATGTCTTCTTATTCTTGGCATATGAAAAAGCTGAAAAAAAAGAAGAAAGTGAGTCACACAACTATAAATTTTTTGCCTCTGTTATCACAGTTTCCAACTGATTACTACCAATTTGTATCAAGCGTTAATAAAAAAATAAAAAAAATAAAAAAAAAAAACAAAAAAAAAAAACATAAAACCTAAAAAAGATTAGTGTAGAGCTTAGCTTGAATACCTGAAGTTCTGAAACCAAATCCTTCTTTGTTGGTAACTTGTGTAGATGCGATTATTTCTTCTTCTGTAATTCCTTTGACCTCTCTGCTTCTTTCTCCTTTGCATGATAATTTTGTGTTCCAGTTCTTCAATGATTCTTGCAAGCCATCTTAGATTTCCAGTCGAGATCAAGAAATATATTATGGATAATCCAATACATAGTCCACTGCCATAGCCCATCAGAGCTGCTTTCCAAAAATCATTGAAAAATTCAGAATTTCTTTCTTGATCTTCTAGCGCAGACACTGTATAGTTTGTCTCTGACACAGGATCATTGCCACAACCTTTTGAAATGGGGAATCCACGTAATCCATCATTACCTTCATATGAATTGTTCTCAAAGGTAAGAAATTGAGGTCCTTGAGGGATGCATCCTTGGAGATAATTGTGGGAGAGATTTAAGCATTCAAGAAACGTAAGAGAAGCAAGTTGTTGTGGTATCTCTCCCGAAAGCTGGTTAAACGAAATGTCCATTGATTCCACTACAGATAAACTTCCAAGTGATGGTGGTATATTGCCTTGCAATCCATTATGAGATAAATTAAGTACACGAATCGCAATGAGCTCTCCTAGAACACTAGGAATATGTCCTTCAAATTTATTGTTTGAAAGATCAATAATTGTGTACAAAGACAAAATTTTCACAACTTCAAGCTTCAATCCCTTTGTTACAACAACTACCGAATCTTGGTAGTATACTCGACTTCCTTTAGAACTTGGTGCCTTCATTGTTTGATCAATAGTCGTCATGCCTATCAAATGTTGAAATAGACTCGTTGGTAAGTCTTTCGAAAAGGCATTGTTAGAGAGATCTATGATTCGAAGAT